GTCACGCAGGAAGCTAAAGGTGCTTGTTGCTGTTAAGGTGTGTTCATGTGTGTGCTAGTGTTCATGTTTAGGAAAAAATAAACCCAAGTGTGTCTGTGTGTGTTTGGATGTGGGTGGATGTGCTTGGGCAAACCTTTTGTGTTGAGCAGAAGGGCATTTGTATGGGTTTGTGTATGTGTTGAATAGATTTTTCTGATTAGGCTGTGCTACACAAGCCTCAGGAACTAACACCATGTTTATAGTTCTTGCTCTATAAATGGCATGAGTACATGTGCTCACCAGTCTGAAGCCGACAGGAAGGTGAAATAAATGTGTGCGTGTATGCGTTGAGTGAAGCTGAGTGCCTGCCTCTCCTGTCTAAGTATTGCCTGATAACCCCGAGTGACCTGGGTAATGAGAAGTGGAACAGTGGCTTCCCAGCAGGCCTCTGGGCCCGCCTCAGCTAAAGCTCCTCCGCCGCTCAGCCTGCATTATGAAGCTTCCCTCCAGTGTACGCCCGCTAGCCAAACACACCGACAGACAGAAGAGCTTACATCTCAATTTTTAGAAAGTCTAAGGCTGTTTAGATCACATTGCTAAGAGGTAGCTGTAGCCTGCCAGCTTGCATCGTGTGATTGTGAAAGAAAAAACATACAACCAAATAAAAGAAATCCTTATCTATTGGAAAGTATAATAATTTGCATGTACACCCATGTTTTTTTTACTCTGTTAGATAGCTGCGTGTCATGAATTTTATCAGAACAACTCGTTGCTCAAAACAGCCAGCAGAACTGTGTAACATGCTTTGTCTTTTCTTCACTATCTTTGTTTAGCTGTGCTAACATCACAATGTTATCTGTTGGTCATACTTACTTGACAACTACAGTAAAACACTCTTCAATTACAGCTAACAGTGTTAGCATGCTAAAATGCTGAAAACATTAAACATTAGCATACCGATGCAAACATTGTGTAGTGGTCTCACTTCTGGAAGCTAGTTTTAGCGTCCATTTTTAAAAGTGATTTTTTAAATTCATTATCTCCATTGACTGTTTCTTATATCCTTATAAAAATACTGATATAAATTGTATAAACGCCCTGAAACAAGCTAACTAGCTACAAGGTGAATCATGACGATAATAAGATGTGACTGAAGTTTAATGTTGAAGGAACTACTTATCCCATAATGCATCACACATCCTAGATTGCACAGCAAATGGCTTCTATTTATGTATGTATGTATCTAGTAATCAATTTTTGTATTTTTGCATGATAATAATCGTTTGTCCCTGACTGCATTCCCCACTCTTGTGGTTTCTGAAGTTTGGCGCTAACTCAGTTACCTGACATTTGCAGGTTTAAGCACTTTTTGTTAGTACTACAGACATTCACCAATCAGAGATGTTTCAGTTTGGGATTGTTTGCAGAGTCGTTTGTTGAAGTGTTTCTCTTTAGACAAAGTTTGATATCATACAGGGTTGTGGTTTCTAAAGAAGTGCATGTCAGCATTTCTTGGTGCCAGAGCTCGTAGTAAGTCTTCTTTGCATGGTGCAGCATTATGGCTCATAATCAAAACCCTTATGGAAAACATAAATGGGATTTTTGCTTCTTCAGCAGGTAGTGTCCAATGTGGAGACCAGATAATCTTATTTTACTAAAGCTAAGAAAACTCTGATTAGCGACAGTAGTTGTTTACTTTCAGGGTTCCTGAAAAAGTATCAGGAAAGCCACCGCTTTACTTGTTTTGTCTCAACAGAAATCGTTAGGCCATCTGAGCCTTGGTGTAGCCTCGGAAATATGTAGCTCTAACAACACTTCAACCAAATTGCGTGAGATGCGTAGACTTGAGCGTTTTTTGGAGCTTAACCCACAATTGACACTAAAAATCATTATACTTTCTCTATAGTCTTTACTGCGACTGGATTTCATTAGTATGACTTTAGCGAGCCCACATATGCAGAACAACAGGCAGTATTAATTTGCTGGGATACTCATTTAATCCCTACAACTGAGCTAATAAGAAACATATTGTAAGTGGAAAAAAAAGTCATGCTAGATAATTTTATTACCAAAAGTCAAATAGTTTTCAGTCCTACCTAATATCATTATGGACTGGTATGATCTCTTTGTTGTCTTTTAAAGGAGGCTATGAAAGGAAAATCCTTGATAAGCAAACAATTTATGCGTTAGTGAAAAGTGTGAACAATATTTTTTTTAAATTAACAAACGAAACTGTCACTTGATGTTTATGTGAGAGCAGCAGTATGTAGCCTGTCTCCCTTTGACAGAGCAGTTATGTAACATGCTTCATTGTCTTTGTGTGCTTTGTGATCCTGTATTGTTTATTTTTAATACTCAAACGGTTGTCTGACAGCAGAACAGAGAGAATAATTAAGCAGGTTTTAGTGCTGTGACTCCCCAGTGTTCGTGTGGATTTGTTGGAAACAGAAAACAGCGTTTGAGTCAGAGGTAACAGAAAATGGGCTCTTTAACATTACAGGCATTTGCTTCCTCCCACATCCACATCAAAGTGTCACGTAAGATTCTCTGAGAATGCTAACAGTAGAATAAATCCAGCAACCCCCCACCCCATTTGAACTTTTACTACTATAAACACCTTCCTTCTTCCTGTCAGTGGTGACATTTATTTTAACCTGAGGTAGATGGTGCATAGTTCTGTTTTCCCACTGTTAGCCAGTCATGCTAGCATGGTGCGTTAAAGTCATCGCAGGCCTCGGGGCGAGTAGCTAAGTTGATAATTCATAGTATTTGGCCTTATCAGCAAGAGATGGCCCTGTGCTGTGAGGGGGGGATGACACAGACTTAGTCATTTGTTAATATTATGCCCCTGTGACTGCTGCGTTTCATGTTGTCTGCTCCGCAGAGACCTCTGGAAACTGTGAAGTCACAGTGAGCCCACCAGCCTTCAAACTGCAGCAGCTCTTTTCATGTAGGCTGAATTAATTTCAATTTTCGTATAAAAATCTTTCCTCAAACTCTACTCAGCATTTACCCAGAAAAACTATTTAACTAAATTAAACACATAGCTGCACACAGAAAGCCACAAAAATGTCATGCTAGTGATAATCAACCTCACCCAGTTCTACTTTGGTGGAATTTAGTCAGCCTGCTGGATTAGAATCACATCAGGCTGAAGGTTTTCCATAGATGACAGGTGTCAACTCATCAGACGAAGCGGCACGCCGTTCATACCAAAGCAGTTGAGGGAGTGATACAGAAACAGCTAATTAGCAAACTAATTAACTGTACATACCTGAGAACTGGCTTTGGCAGCTTTGTTGATCTACAGTGAAAGTTGTCTGCCTGGTTCTTCCTCAGTGGACGTGAAGTTCTCACTTCAAGAGCTGCGGAAAAACGAGAGAAAAATGAAGTCGGAGAGAAAATTTGCATTGCAGATGAAGAGGAAAAAAAAATCTCAATGTTTTGCTACAGTTTTGATAGTAACATTATGTTTGTACTACATTTTTCCTGCGTAGTTTCACATAGCGTGCACAGAGTGAAAAGTCTTCCTGTACACATGCTCTCTCTTACATGAATAATTAAGTAATTCAGTTCTTGAAATATTTTACTCGTACTTTGTCACAGATAAATAACAGCAATAGAGCCATCTGTCTCTGCAGTGAGTTGTACATCCTGTGGATAAACTCTGTAGTCTCTGTTCTGCTCTGCAGAATCTGTGACCTTAAGGTAGTGGCGCATAAACTCTCTGCCTGCTGCAAGTTCTGGTTAAAAAGACCTTCGTCTACCTACTATTGCCAGCTGCAGTATTATTCAATTCAGTTTTATTTATATAGCACCAAATCACAGCAGCAAATGCCTCAAGTTGCTTTATATTGTAAGGTAAATACCCTAAAATAATTAGGAAATAAACCCCAACAATAAGGCGACCCTCTAAGAGCAAGCACTTGGTGAAATGGGAAGGAAAAACTCCCTTTTAACAGGAAGGAAGCTCCAGCAGAAGCAGGGGGTGGGAGGGCAGCCATCTGCTGGGACTGGCTGGGTGGCGGGAGGAAGACAGGACAAAAACACACTGTGGAAGAGAGCCAGAGATTAATAATAACTAATGATTAAATGCAGAGTGGTGTGTAAGCACACAGTGAGTGGAGAATAAACACTCAGTGCATCATGGGAATCCTCAGCAGCCTAGGCCTATGACAGCATAACTAAGGGACCGACGGAGAAAACATGAGATCATCTGTAGGCAGCCATTAATATACCTGATCAGTACATGCTAATTTTTGTGACAAAGGTAGCAAGAATAATTAGCTAAAGGAACAACAAGCCCTCTCTGAGGAAGTATAAAAGAATATAAAATTGATCATATAATGCTTAAAATAGAGCCACATATAAACAATTTCATGCTACAAATGATCAAAAAAAAGCACAAGTCCTGTTAAAAAGATGTGTAAGAATCAAGGACATGTTTCTTTTCTCTGTCACAGCTGTCCCATTCAAGTAGATGAGATAACTTTGGCCAAAATAGGTATTTTTTTTAAGCGAAAAAGCTTCCTTTTGAATACTTCTGATTATTTTAATATCTGCTTAATCTCAAAGGCACCAGATTTTGATTAGTTACAAATATCTGTGAACTCACGGGGATTCGTTTACAAAAGAAAATGAGTGGTTTTCTAACAGCTGAATCCTTTTTGGCTTCAGCGGTGGTTATTTTCCCCGCGTGAATCATCAATTTGTGGTTATATTTCCTGCGTTTTTCTCCACCACCTTATGGGGTCAGCGGGGGATTGCATGAGCTTGTGTAGTAAAAATTTATTTGTGCAGTTGACTGCACAGCAGTTCCTCTGCAAAGGCACCTGTTCCCTGTGAAGGACACAAAAACCAGGATAGGAGAAGGAGAAACGGGAGCGCTAAAGGACCCATCTGTTGCTCATTCAGCAGCAAGGACAGGTGGCTCTGAACTGTTTATAAAGACTTTAATTAATGATTCTCTGCCTTTCTCTCCCTCCTTTCTGTTTTTTCATCTTCGTCTCTCCTTCCTTTAGATTCAGAGACGACAAGGGCTACGTTCTGTACCCTCAGATCGGGGACCGGCTGGACCTCATCTGCCCTCCTCTGGACACCGCCAGGTCCACGCCGGAGTACGAGTTCTACAAGCTCTACCTCGTGTCGACGCGGGAGCAGGCGGACCGCTGCGAAGTGATGGGACCCCCCAACATCGTGCTCACTTGCGACGAGCCCACCCGCGAACGCCGCTTCACCATCAAGTTCCAGGAGTTCTCGCCCAACCTCTGGGGCCACGAGTTCAAGAGCATGCAAGACTACTACATCATCGGTGAGTGGAGGACCCTGACCAAACGCTGGGTCGATGTGTGTATGTGCGCTTACGGGCGTGTTTGTTGAGCCTTATTTGCAGTGTGCGGTTGGTGTCGGTTGGAGGGCGGGGGGTTGTTATGATTGCATGGTTGATTTCTGATTGTGCCTGAGTGTGTTTGTTTATTTCAGAGATGATAGCGCTGATTGGGCGGGTGTGTTTACAATAATTAGGTTTGAGAATTGCGTGTGATCCAGCCCACAGGCGGAGATACAGTACAGGACATGCACTGCACTAAAAAACAAGAAACGCAACAAAACAAAACATTCATGACATTTGAGGGTTTTTTCCCCCCAAATGAAGTAAGATGTAGATTTTTTCACTAACTATATACTCACCTAAAGTTTCACCTCTGTGGGATTACCACGCTTCAAATGCAATCTGTGTTTTCTTGTCTCTTCTTGCAGTGTCTCTAGATTTGCTGCATGTGTGGGATTTTGTGTTTAGCGGTTAGATTCGTATCGAGATGCTGTCGGTCGTTGCGAAGCCCTCTTTGTCCCACAGCGCCGGGCTCGGGCCTGTTTATTGTTACTGCCAGCCTTAGACGGTGACCACAGATGGTGAGGCGCAGTTTGTTTTGGTTTGTTCAAAAGGCTTGTTTGGAGTTTAGCCGTGCGGATGACCCGATGAGGTCACCGAGGCGAGCGAGGCCAGGTGTCTGTATCGGACGGAACGATCGGCGGGTAAAGTTTGCGTCAACTGAAACATGTGGGTTGTTTTTAAATGCGGACCTGGGGCCAACTGGAGCAATGCACGCAACACATAGGGATCACACTCAAGTGCATGTATACACACACGCCCACGAGTTTCTAGTACAAACACAGGCGCTGTAAAAACACCTCGGGAGTGAGACAGCGAGCAGGATAGACAAAGAAAGAGAGAGCGAGAGACCCTGATTCCCATAGCTCCCCTCCCACGCACCTGCGAGGTCTATTCACTCAGGTGTGCAAATGCTCTTTTCATTTCTTTTCGTCTGCCGGTGGAAAATAAAAACCTAAAAACGACAGAAAGAGGAGAGCTAGGAGGAGGAGGAAGCTGGGACAGAGCTAGAAAGGCAGACAGACAGAGAGAGAGAGAGTACAGAAGAGACAAAGAGAATGTAAGATTTTTCCAAGTCTGTGAAGTCCCTCGTGCCTTTTGGTGTTCCATATTTGTTCACCTGTTTCAGGTGTGCTCGGTTTTTTACTATCAGTCCACAAAAGCGGCGTGTTTGTGAAGAGAGGCGAGGCTCTGGGCACATTTCTCCTTTACCCTGCGTCGATATCAGCTCACAAGTGTCTCTCTCTGATTAGATGTGAGTGAGCGAGATAGCGCGTCGTGGTGCAGTAAGCCGTCGTGTACTGTAGGGACGTGTGTATTGGCGTATGTGCGCCCAGAATCTCGCCCTAATAAGTAGGGAGGAAAATGAATGCAAGCCTCACTTCCTGGTAGATGAATTAGTAACGGACTCAATATTGAGAGGACCCGAGCAGCCATCGAGTATCACAGGAATGTTGTCCTGTGGTTTCAGTAATCCGGTTTTGAAGCCTTGAGTTTGGTATTCCGACTCGCAGCATCTTTGTTTTGTAGCTACAAGCGACCATATTTGTATAAGAAGGCGCACGCTAAGTTATTAGCTAACCTTAGAAAGCTTTAATAGGAAAAACACAATTCAAAAACTGTATTGCTTAGACGTAGATACCTGCTAATTAGTTCCAAGTAACAAGCAAATACAACAGTAGAACGTCACTAATGGCACAAATGTAGATAAAGACATCAAATGCAGTAACTAGTAGACAGATACTGATATATCCACCTGATAGTCAAAGTAGGCGTGTCCTATGTGATACATAACTTTATAAGGGGCACGCCTTTTATAATACAATTTAAGCAGATAAGTCATATAAATAAATCTCCTCTTGCTGTTGTCCTGAAGGGGGGTTTATTTATAGAGACTAAAGTCAGGCTGCAAACTGTTTTCTCACAGAAAGTTGGAAATTTTAACATGAAAGTCTAAGAGATTGACTCTCTGTTGCAGACTGCCACAAGTGGTCTTTAGAGGAACTGTAGTTTTAATTTTTTTAATAGAAATGTAGACAAAACACGGCCTGAAATGTGTTCCCATTTTCATGTCTTTCTATCTTGACTGTTCCCCGTCATACTTACACGACTGAACAGTTAAAGATGTCGAACACGCCCAGTTCCCTCCACGTAAGAAGAGTCAAAGTAGAATTTAGTTGTTGCCATGAAACATTTTGCAGGGCCGCGTAGGTGTAGGGTTCACATCTTTTCCTCCGACCTTTTATTTCGCTCCCCCTCTCTTCTGTACCCCAACCTGACAACCAGGTGTCCAGAGATAGAAACACCTTTATCTCCACTCACAGCCCAGACTGATCGATTGACAGCTCCAGCCCGATCGATGACGGCTGCAGCACAAGGTCACGCGCGCACTCTCGCTCTCATACGCACACGCAGAGGTTTACTCCCAGATTCGTAGAGAGACTCGGATAGGTGAGGGGGAGTATCCGATCGTAGAGAGCATTCGGTCCTGATAACTTATTGACGACATCGAGAGATCGCTTGTGTTTAGTGAGCAACCGGGCTTTGATCATGTGTCCTTAATGAAGAATCGCACCGAGTCTCTTACCAGAGCTTGTGTGTACTTAATGAGGTTGTGAGATAATTAATAACTGCTAATCCTGCTGCTAATTTAGTGCCACATATCTGCTGTCGCCTGTGTGCTAACCCTATAGGGAGGATATTGCACACGCTGAACACAGCGTGAACTATGGCTTGTCCCTGAATTTAGTTAAATGTATGTTTGCGGGCGTGTGTAAAGGCACCGATGTATGCAGAAGCCTCAGGGAAATCTGGTTTTAATTAACCTATAGCATAGTGTGATTTAATTTGCACACTGCAGACTGGGCACAAGCGAAAAGCATATGCGTGGTAATGCGGAGTTGCTGGCTGGTGGAACAGCAGGAGGAAACTCGGCAGTAGAGGTTAATTTAAAGTTAAACCTATTACAGATTACCTGTAACTTGCTTAAAGCCCACTGGGTGATTAGTTTCCCCTGCAGTTTGGCTCTCGAGTAAACACGCGGTAAATCAAAGCAGAAGCTCCGTGATTTGATTTTCACATTGCAGTCGTCGACAAGTGCCGTCACTGATCATCGCACGGGAAAATAACCCTTACGCGTCGACGAAAATCTCACAAGGAATCTGGAAAAAGGGGAAACTTGTTTTTGCAGTGTCTAACGCGTCACAGATGCTGCTGCTTTGTAATCAAATTACTTGAATCCTATTAAATGTTATTCTTCACTTCCGTATCCTGGGGAGAGGAGCGAAGCAGCGGGGAAATTGATTTGTCATACTTATTGATTGATGTTTGCATTCATAACATGAGGTCAGAGTTTATGTAAGCCCATTTCTCTGTCACGCTCTCCCGTCTTGTGTTTTGCCGCTTGCTCGTCTTCTCCACCGTTTTAGTTTTTTTTAACCCCTTTTACAAACAAACACACACACACACACACACACACACACACACACACACACACACACACACACACACACACACACAC